ATCTGTAAGCTGCATTTTTGTCCCATTGATAGTGTCCTTTACCTTATAGAAGCTTTTCAGTTTCATGAGGTCTCATTTATTATTGATTATTGTTCTTAGTGCCTTTACTATCAGTGTTCTGTGCAGGAAGTGGTCCTGTCGCCAATGTGTTCAAGGCTACTCCCCACTTTCTCTTCTATTAGTTCCAGTGTCTCTGGTTTTATGTTGAGGTCTTTGATCTACTTGGACTTGAGTTTTGTGCAAGGTGATATGGATCTATTTGCATTCTTCTACATGCAGGCATCCAGTTAGACCAGCACCATTTGTTGAAGATGCTTTCTTTTTTTCTATTGTGTATTTCTGGCTTCTTTATCAAAACCAGGTGTCCATGGGTGTGTGTGGATTTATGTCTGGGTCTTCTATTCAATTCCATTGATCAACCTGTCTGTTTTTATGCTAATAACATGCTGTTTTTATTTCTATAGCTTTGTAGTATGGTCTGAAATCTGGGATGGTGATAACTTGGGAAGTTCTTTTATTGTACAGGATTGTTTTAGCTATCTTGAGTTTTTTGTTTTTCCATATGAAGTTGAGTATCATCCTTTCAATGTCTGTAAAGAATTGTGTGGGAATTTTGATAAGGATTGCATTGAATCTGTAGATTGCTTTTGGTAGAATGGCTGGTTTTACTATGTTAATCCCACCAATCCATGAACATGGGAGATCTTTCCATCTTCTCATACCCTCTTCAATTTCTTTCTTCAAAGACTTGAAGTTTTTGTCATACAGGTCTTTCACTTACTTGGTTAGAGTTATTCCAAGATAATTTATATTATTTGTAGCTATGGTGAAGGGTGTTGTTTCCCTGATTTCTTTCTCAGCCCATTTGTCATTTGTGTGTAGGAGGGCTACTGATTTTTTTGAGTTAATCTTGTACCCAGCCACTTCACTAAAGGTGTGTATTAGCTGTAGGAGTTCCCTGGTAGAATTTTTGGGGTCACTTATGTATACTATCATATCATCTGCAAAAAATGATACTTTGACTTCTTCTTTCCCAGTATGTATCCCCTTGATCTCCTTCAGTTGTCTTATTGCTTTAGCTAAGACTTCAAGTACTATATTAAATAGATATGGAGAGAGTAGACAGCCTTGTCTTGTTCTTGATTTTAGAGGAATCGCTTTGAGTTTCTCACCATTTAATTTAATTTCGGCTATCAGCTTGCTGTAAATTGCCTTTATTCTGTTTAGGTATTTCCCTTTTATGCCTAATCTCTAAGACCTTTATCATGAAGGGGTGTTGGATTTTGTCAAAGGCCTTTTCATCATCAAATGAGATGATCATGTGGTTTTTTTTTTCTTTCAGTTTGTATGGTGGATCACATTGACTGATTTTCATATGTTGAACCATTCCTGCATGTCTAGGATGAAGCCTACTTGATGGGGATGGATGACCTTTTTGATGTGTTCTTGGATTTGGTTTGCAAGCATTTTATTAAGTATTTTTGCATCTGTTTATGAGGGAAACTGATCTGCAATTCTTTTTCTTTGTTGAATCTTTGTGTGGTTTGTGTATCAGGGTGACTGTGGTCTCATAAAATGAATTTGCCAGTGTTCTTTCTGTTTCTAATTTGTGAAATGATTTGAGGAGTATTGGCATTAGCTTTTCTTTGAAAGTCTGGTAGAATTCTGAGCTAAAACCATCTGGCCCTGGGTATTTTTTTTTAATTGGGAGACTTTTAATAAAGTCTATTTCCTTAAGGGTTATAGGTCTGTTTAAACTGTTTGTCTGATCTTGATTTAACATTGGTAAGTGGTATCTATTGAGAAAATTATCTATTTCTTTTAGATTTTCCAATTTTGTGGAATACAGGCTTTCAACGTGTGACCTGATGATTTTTTGAATTTCCTCAGTATCTGTTGTTATGCCCCCTTTTTGTTTCTGATTTTCATTTCTAGATTTCATGATAAATAAAAATAAGCATTGAACATTATTTCATTTTTAAATTTTTTATTACATTTAAATTATGTGTGTGTACACGTCACAGTGCACACATGGAGTTCGGAGAACAACCCTTGGGAGTGGATTTTATCTTTCCACCAGCATGTGGGGCCTGAGAATCAGACTTAGGCCGTCAGGCCTGGTGGCGAGTGCCTTTATTTACCTGCTGAACCTTCTCGCCTGTCAAGCACTATTTTGTTGTTTGTTTCATAAGGCAGGGTCTCTCTCTACATATCCCAGATTGACATCAAACTCATGGCAATCATCCTGCCTCAGCCTCTCAAGTGCTAAGATTACAATGTGGGCCACCATGCCCAGCTAAACATTGTTTTTGAAGTTAGTTTGTTTTAACTTTCTACCCTGGCTATGTAGTGATGTGGCATGTAACTTTAAAAGCCAGATGCCTCTCTTGAACATCTTCCATGATTTCCAATATGACTCATGGCAGGCAGAATAATGACTCCTTTGAAATGTCTTATCCCTTCTTTGGAGAAAGATTTTGCAGATGTGATCAAGTATTTTGTGCCAGGAAGCTAACCCTGGACCACTGGGGAGGCTCAATTTTACTGAGTCTCTTTAAGTGAAAGGAAAGCAGGAGAGTTGCAGACAGGAAAAGCCTTTCTGTGAGTGCTTACGAGCCAGGGAATGTTGTCAGTCTCCACAAGGAAAAGGCAAGGAATGAATTCTCTCCTTCAGCCTCCCAAAGGGAGGTACCCCGTCACCACCTGGATTTTAGTCCCCGGAAGTCTGTGCTAACTCTGGACCTCCAGAAGCATAAGATAAGGAATGTATATTGTTGTCAGCCACTAAACTTGTCGCACTTTGTTTCAGCAATGGTAGGAACTAGTAAGTCGTTTCTTGTCTGGAGGATTCTGAGTTCATGTCCAGATTCATATCTCTTATTAGCTACTTGGTAGCTGCCCGTGACTCTCGAATATATCATACTCCAAATGAAAGCTTTTATATTTCCTTCCCAAACCTGCTCATCATCCTAGCCTTCGTCACCCCATTGAGTGCCACCAGCATCCACCCAATTACTAAAATTAGAAACCTGAAAGTCACTCTTTACTCATTTCTTATAACTAATCAATCATAAGTTTCATCAGACTTATAGCCAAATAAATTATTTATTTATCGACTTCAGTCCAGCTTCACTGGCACCAATTCTTGATTCTCAGCTAATCCATTCTCCACCAAGCAGCCCAAGTGGTATTTGGAAAACACGTGATCTGAAATGTGTTAGAAACATGAATGGCGGCTTGGTTAACCTACAAACACAGGGTTACTCTGACCTCAGAAAGGAAGGTTCATGATGGCACCTCTGTGTACAAAACCACTTACTGTACTTTTCAGGATGGTGTGACCTGTGCTGGATCCAACAAGGCTGCATAAATACCTTGCAAACCAGAGCGTCATCCTTAACTGAAATAGATAACAAGCTGCAAAAGTTCGATGCAGGCCGGGCGGTGGTGGCGCACGCCTTTAATCCCAGCACTCGGGAGGCAGAGCCAGGTGGATCTCTGTGAGTTCGAGGCCAGCCTGGGCTACCAAGTGAGTCCCAGGAAAGGCGCAAAGCTACACAGAGAAACCCTGTCTCGAAAGAAAAAAAAAAAAAAAAAAAAAGTTCGATGCAGTTTGCCATTAGCTTTATAGCAAGAAACCCCTAAGGATTGCTAGATTGTTTAAACAGTGTCACCTAGTCAGGCTGGTGGATCAAGCCTCTAATCCCAGCATCTTGAAGCTGAGGCAGGAGGACTGTCGTGAATTTAAGACCATTCTGGACTACACAGTGAATCCCATGCCAGCTTCAGCTAGCTGGGTACAGTGTCAGACCCTGTGTCAAAAAACTAAAATATAGCTTTAAATGTTTCACTTGTGATTTTTTTTCTTGTTTGAGACATGGAAGCAGCTATATTGCTCAGACTACTGTCCAGCGCCTCATTCTCCTGCACAAATTGTGGTCAATTCCACCATGTCAGGAGGTACTGTAACTCCAGGCCTGTAACTCCAGCCCCGGGGTGTCTGATCCCCTCTTCTGGACTCCATGGGCACCTGCACTCTAATGTGCACATACCCCAAACACACACTAAAAATAAAATAAAATCTTAAAAAAAAAAAAAAAAGCCAGCACTTCGTCAGGAGCTAGCTGCACAGGCCCCTCTTCCCCTTCCTGGGTCTTGGAGCTGCCACCAGTCTGGCAGAGACATCTGTGTCCCTCAGTCTATCAGACTATTTAAACAATGGAGCCCAAACTGGAATTTCCCCAAGAATTTCATGCTGGGAGAAGGACAAGGCTGAATCCTGGTGCTGGAAATAGACTTCACACGGGACACTTGACTGGGGAGGTTGGAATCCAGACAACGATGGACAGGACTACAGTGTGGCCTGGACCGCTTAGATGTGCACCTCTCCGACTCTCTGTATTTTAACCTCAGTTTAGGGCTTCCAAAACGGGGGGAGCGGATCTTTGGATTTCATTGTTCCTCTTCCCAATATGGCCGCATTGAATTAATTTTTTGTGCTATTGATTCGGCTGTTCTCGACTTGTGGAGGATAGGTGGCTGAACCTGGCTTCTCGGGACACAAGCAATGACGCCCAAATTCGGGAACAGAATTGCCTCGTGCCCTGGAGTGGTCGGAGACTCATAGTTGACTGTGGCTAGTATGTCTTCTCCCTCGGCTCCCCACCAGCGCCTCCTGGCAGGCTTGGCAAGTCTCAATTCCAGAGACCACTCTGGAAATAGGTATATACAGCATTGCCTTGGTGCCTGGGCCATGAGATGACTCTCAGCTTGAGCGCGAGGCTGAAATAACCCTCTCGTGGGAAAACTCGGGCTTCACTGTGGGCTTCGCCAGAGGAGAGAACACCCCCAGGCGAGGACTGGGATCGGCAAACCGCGTGGACGCCGCTACCGGAGCTGACACGACAGCGGAAGGCGCTCTCTGCAACCGCCCGGGGCTAACCGAAACGCGCCAGGGAGGGGGCGGGGCTGCGGCCGGGCGGGGCGATCGACCGTTCGGCGCTCCGCGGGAATGGGGGCGCAGGGGGACCTCTGCCGGCGCCGCGGCCAGGTGGAGCGCCGAGTCATCGAGCGGCGCGACAGTCGCGGAAGCCGCGGGGTGCGCTTGTCCGGGCCTGCCGTGCAGGGGCCGGCTAGAGGAGCGCTGAGTGCTGAGGAGGCGCCGGAGGGAACCAACCCGGCGAGGGCCACGAGTCAGTCGGTGACTCACGAGCTTCGTGCTGCTCTCCGACACCTCCCGCTGCGGCTCTGGGCCTTGCACCGTGTGCCCCGGGTCGGCGCGGCCGGGCGCCTCTCCCGCCGGGTGCGGCACTCCGACGTGGGATCCCGGAGCTGTCAGGCTCAGCGTGCCGGTGAATGGGGACCGGGGCGTGCAGAGGTAGGCCTGGCCAGGCTCCAGCCCATCCCCGCGGCCAGCGGGCAGCGCAGCCCTGGGTCCCGGGGCGGAGGCGTGAGAGGGCTGCTGGGCCGCCGCGGCCCCGGGTGGAGAGGGTTTGCTCTGGGAAACCCGCCCAACACTGACCATCTGGACTCTTGGCCTCCTTGGGAATTTAATAGGCGTTTGCATCCATCCCTGAACAGGCTTGTAAAATCGTTTGCTCCTCAGATAGGAGGGGTGTGGCGGGGGTACAGTTTAACCGTAAAGATAATGGTTTAGCCCAACTGTAGGGGCTCTGGAAGGAATGCCACACTGAATTATAGCGGGGCAGCGGGGTTCTGAGAACTCTCAGCCCATTTTATTGCGGCGAGTTCCATCTGCTCTGCGTGAAAGGAAGGTGTGTGTCAAGTTCTCCAGAAAGGCTTGCATTCGTAGATGTTTGTGGAGTGTACACACAAGGCAAAGGGTGTGTAGGGCGGTGACCTTAGAGGTTCTGTCAGTCATTAACTATATTTAACTGTGATTTAGAGCAAGAGGATTTTTTTTTTCTTTACCTCAGTGTCCCTGCCTGTATAGTGTAGTGAATGAGATAGGATGGAATGATGCTTATAACGCTCTGTTAGCACAGTGCTGGCTGAAAGCGCTTAGCAATGCTTACTTCACTATGGTTTCCTCTGCTGGTGACTACTTGCACAAGCGTACTTACAGAAAACACTTTCTCGTGTTTGGGACATTCACACGACCACCTTTTGCAGCATTTATAAAGCACGATTGAGTTGAATGTGGTATGGAGCATGGCCATTTCTTGGAGCCGGGGGCGATGGCTGGTGGTGGTTGGTGGAGGGTGTAAAGCTGAAAACTTGACCTGAGTCTGGGTCCTCAGAACCGGGTGAAATCAGTTGTATAATTCGAGCGGCTGTAATCCCAGCAATCCGATACGTTGGGATCCTGGGAGGGGCCGGGGAGACAACAGAGAGCCTGTCTCTAAACAAGGTGGAAGTGTAGTGGGTAGTTGGTGAGATTGTTCGGTGAGGCAGGCAAAGAATTGGCAGAGAAAGGAAGTAAAAAGCTCTGTTGAAGCAAGCTGACAGCTCCCGTTGGGATGGGATGGGCCCCAGATTTGGAAGTCCTTGCAGGTGGGCTCTGGGTTGGGCATTTTATAAAGCCCCTGTGTCCTCCCATTTCTCTTATTGTCTGGTCCACTGATCCAGTGTTCAGCCCTGGCAGCCTTTCTTTTCCTGCTGTGTTTGTTTGTTTGGGTGTTTGCCGTGGTGTTCCTGTGGTGCCCTCCATCTCCCAGAAGTGCCCCCCATCTCCCAGAAGTCTTACAGAAGCGTGCTCCTTCGCTCCTTGTCTGTGTGTTCTAACTCTCCTTCAGCTTGCAGGACTGATACTGGAGTTAGTCCTTTGACCTTCACTTTTACCCTCAGCCAGCTGTTCCACTGGCTCTATTGCTCAAAACCGTTTGCATTTTGCAATGTTTGGGGCTTCAGACTTTTGGATGGAGATACGTAGTATGCACTGACAACTTTTGATTAATTTTTGTCTAATATTCCACTATGTGAAGAAGCAAATTTTATCTTGTTTTACATTGTGCTTTATGAAACAAATTCCCTTTAAGTAGTTTAAGTCCATTTTGTCACATTACTCATCCTATATGCTGGTCACTATCTTCAGTATAAAAATGTGTCTTTAGTGGTGCCAGTCTTTAAACCCAGCACTCAGGAAGCAAAGGCAAGCCGATCTCAGTGAGTTCAAGGCCAGCCTGGTCTGTAGAGAAAATCCCAGGACAGTTAGGGATGTATAGAGACTCTGTCTCAAAAATACAAAAAACAGGGCTGGAGAAATGGCTCAGAGGTTAAAAGTACTGGCTACTCTTCCAGAGTTCCTGAGTTCAATTCCCAGCAGCCACATGGTGGCTCACAACCATCTATGTTAAGATATGATGCCCTCTTCTGGCATGCATGCAGGCAGAACACTATATACATAATAAATAAAAATACAAAAAATAGATTTTAAAAAAGTACCTCTGGGCTGGGCAGTGGTGGCACACGCCTTTAATCCCAGCACTCGGGAGGTAGAGGCAGGTGGATCTCGGTGAGTTCGAGGCCATCCTGGGCTACAGAGTGAGTTCCAGGAAAGGCACAAAGCTACACAGAGAAAGCCTGGGCTACAGAGTGAGTTCCAGGAAAGGCACAAAGCTACACAGAGAAACCCTGTCTCTAAAAACAAAAAACAACAAAAAAAAGTGCCTCTGAGAATATTTTATCCAGAACAAATAACAGATAGTTTGTTAAAGTTTCTGATTTCTGTTGCTCCTATTTGTGAAAGCAAAATGGTTGGGGTCAGTTGTGTTCTGGGGCCACCTTCCATAATGTTGGTTCCTAAAATCAGAAATGAGGCCTTTCTCAGCTCCGTACTGACCTCAGTTTTCTGTGCAGTGCGCTACACAGACTAAAGACTCAGTAAGTTCTTATTCAGTCAGTGTTTTATTTTCAAGGCTCTTATAACCCTTCATTTATTTGAAAAGCTGATACCTTACACAGTTGGTTTGATATTTCCATTGCCTTTAAATTTTTTTGTGTTCCCATTTAATTCAGAAACATAACAATAAATATTTTAAAAGTAAAAAATGCAGCAACAGCTTGTAAAATGTTACCAATTGCATACTATAGATTATATGTATTTATAAATAAATATGTATATATGTAGGGGGATGGTGCATGCCTGTAATTCCAGCACTTTGGATGCTTAGACAGGTGGGATGCCATGAGTTGGAGGCTTATGTAATGAGTGCCAGGGCAGGCCAGCCAGGGCTGTCTCAAAAGAAAAAAGTAACAAAAAGAACAAACAAGAAAACACAAATAAGCCCAAATAACAAATGAAGGGGACAAGGAGAGGCGAGGAGACGGCAGAGAAAGGAAAGCAGAGCAGTCCTGTGAGCTTCGGGAAGAGCCATATGGCCGAGAGAACAGCCTAGCAGACTTCTTATTCTGAGGTGTGCTGTGACTTTTTCAGCTGAAGCCACGTGGATATACCACCCAATCATGAATTTGTGTATTTACTTATTTATCTGCTTATTTATTGGGACAGGGTCTTACTGTGGAACTCTGGCTGGCCTGGAACTTCTATGTAGTTGAGGCTGGTCTGGAACTCTCAGAGATCCAGCTGCCTCTGCCTCCCAAGTGCTGGGATTAAAGGTGTGCCCCACCATGTCCAGTATGAAATAATTAATTTTTAAAATTCAAGAACTACTCCTCTTTAAAAGGTTTTAAGATCTATGCCGGGCGGTGGTGGCGCACGCCTTTAATCCCAGCACTCGGGAGGCAGAGCCAGGCGGATCTCTGTGAGTTCGAGGCCAGCCTGGGCTACCAAGTGAGTTCCAGGAAAGGCGCAAAGCTACACAGAGAAACCCTGTCTCGAAAAACCAAAAAAAAAAAAAAAAAAAAAAAAAAGGTTTTAAGATCTACTTTATTTTCCTAAGATGCGTTGACTTAAAAAAAGAAAAAGAACCCTTGTGCTTTCATAATTTATACAGCTGGCTAACGGGTTAGTTAGGACAATCGCTCAGTAACCTGGTAAACACAAAGCACCACCAGGTGGAACGTTTACTGTTCCACGTAAAATAAATTGACCAACTCCAGCCGTTTGCTTTGCCTCACCCAGCAAATTAAATGTCACAACAATTTAGACAGCTCACATTTGGTCAGTGGAGGGAGGGTTATGTGCAAGAACACTTAGGACAGCCATTCTGGAAGAACAGTTTTGTCTCTAACAATTAGGTAGTGCTTTAGGCTCTCGGCAGAATGCTCATTTGACAGTTACAGAGCTTTTCATTGGGTAGGATTAGCCTCTTCTGGGTATTATGCTTTCAGAGTGGGCCTCATCATGGGACAGTTGGCACCGTCAGGGAACTCACTCGGAAGTGTACCCACATCAGAAGACTGAGCCTCGGGGTGGGGGTGGGGGTGGGGGGGTGGGGGGCAGCACTGCTCCCGTCAGCTGAGCCTGGTGGAGGCAGCACTGCTCCTATCAGCTGAGCCTGGTGGGGGCAGCACTGCTCCTATCAGCTAAGCCTGGTGGGGGCAGCATTGCTCTTATCAGCTGAGCCTGGTGGGGGCAGCATTGCTCCTGTCAGCTGAGCCTGGTGGGGGCAGCATTGCTCCTATCAGCTGAGCCTGGTGGGGGCAGCATTGCTCCTGTCAGCTGAGCCTGGTGGGGGCAGCACTGCTCCCATCACATCTTGGGTTCATAGTTCAAGTTCCAAATATTGCTGTACTTCCTCAAACCGAAGCACTGAGGTCAGAATCCATGAGGTAAACTTAACATTGCTACTGGAATGTTTGAAGTGTTTCATAAAACAAATCCCTCCCCCACCCCTTCCTGGTGGCTCTCCCCTCCCCCATCTCTTTGTCCCTTCCTCATCTCATGGCACTCAGGATCTTTGGGTCCTCCTGCCTCAGCCTTCTAAGTGCTGGGATTACATGATACATGGCATGTAGAGACAAGTCCCCTAAATCAAACATCTCTTGTTCTGATTTTTGACTTTATAAGTGAAGGGTGTGGGGTGAGGGTAGATGGGAAGATGGTAGGCAGAGGAGTTAAAGTGTTTTCATGTATGTGGCAGGACCACAGTGATGAAAGGGAGGTGGCATCTACAAGGGATGGGGTGAGAAGGACCTGGGGCTTATGTGAAGCCTTTCCAGAAGGTGACACTTGGTTTGAAGCCTGATTGGAGAGTGTGGGCAAGAGAGGAAGGGAGGTGTAGGTGCAGGTGCTTAGATCGAAGGCTGGCGTAGATCCGCTCTGGGACCACAGGCATTTTGATGTGCTGGATCTTTGACACGAGTAAAGGTCGGAGAGACATGGTTTAAAAAATGCGATGAGGTCCAGATTAGCAATTTGCATTTTACCCCATAGTGAGGTATGCTGGTTGGCGTGACAGTCAGACCTATGGACTTGTGAGCATCACTTTGAAAGACTCTGGGAGAAGGGCAGGACAGAGACACAACTCTTTGACCACTACCTCAGACCAAGATGGACGAGACTCGTCTAAGGGAAGTGCTGGGGGGGGGGGGGGGAAGCGGAGGAAATGGTGAATTGACGGCCTTAGGAGGTGAGGAACGGAAGCAGCAAGAGAGCGGCCTTTGGATGAGTCCTAGTGCGTCACTGAGTCAGGGGACAACAAGGAGAAACAGCTTTGCAGGAGAAAAATGAGTTCAGTTTGGGACACTGGCTCTCAGGGGCCTTGGGGACGTACAGCAGAGCTGTCGGTGGGCATTTGGAGTGGACTGTGAGGCTCTCACGTAGGTGCAGACCAGGTCTTAGAGGTAGAGCTTCCCTCTGCGCACCTTTGTCTTCCCAAGGGAGCGTGTCCTGTGAGGGCCAAGACATGCTCTTCCAAGGTGTGATCCTGAATCTTGGGGAAGTCATTTTCTCTCTCTAGACCACTCTCTCTCATTGTAAAATGAGGGAGTTAACGGATAGATGATTCTCTACCCAAATTTCTACGGTCTACTTTGTTGGGCTCACTTGTGAGTATACCAAGTATTTTTTTTAAATTTTTAGTAAGTACCTTTAAGCTAATGCTGATATTTATTTATCTTTTGAATGAAAATTGTGTTCCAGTGCGCCAGTGAGAGAGGGTGGGGTTGGTCAGCCCGCTGGAGTGTCCTCGCTTGACACACCAGTGAGAGTGCCATGCAGGAGGGTTGGGGCGGAGAGCAAAGATCACAGACACTGACCGACAGCGCTTCAGCTGAAAAGTTGTGGTTTTCTGCAGTTACAAACAATAACTTTCCCTTTTTGTGTCATTAGGAGCTCTATTTTAAGGAACTCTCAACTAAAAAAAAGCACGTCATGGAGAAGAACGGGACTAACCGGAAGCTTCGGGTTTGCGTTGCTACCTGCAACCGCGCAGATTACTCCAAACTCGCCCCGATCATGTTCGGCATTAAGACAGAGCCTTCGTTCTTCGAGCTGGATGTGGTGGTGCTGGGCTCTCACCTGATAGACGACTATGGGTGAGGCCAGGGTTTGCCTGCTCTTGGTCCAGCAGTGTGTCTGGGAGAGCTTGGGTTTTGTAGGCTGTGGACCTGCTGTCCAACCCCAGTTCTTTTTAGTCTCTATGTGCGTGGGGGACTTGGAAGAGCCTGTTACTTCAGTTATAAATCGGGGTGAAAACAACACAGTGATGAAGCCTGTCCCAGTGATGCTCTTTAGCAGATACTTGATAATTGACAGCTGGAAATACTGCTATTTGTTAGTGCACACAGAAGAAACACCGTGTGTGTGTGTGTGTGTGTGTGTGTGTGTGTGTGTGTGTGTGTGTGTGTGTGTGTGTGTAATTGTATATATAAAATTGGACTATAATAACATGGCTTCATGGCATAATTTTTTGGGGTTGGGGTTTGAGCCCAGAGCCCCAAGCAAGCTGAGCCTGAGCTTCCCCACAGGGCACCCTGATTTCACCCCACGGGGTCTTGTGAGTTCTGATGGTAGTTCTTCAGAATGGCCTATTGAACTGAGTGTGTGCCTGTAATCCTACTACTCGGGAAGCAGAGGCAGGAGGATTGCTTTGAGTGTGAGGCCTGCCCAGATTACATAGTGAGGGCTGCATAGTAAGACCCTGTCTCCAAACAGATAAACAAAATGACAACAAAAACCAACCCTGGTTTGCAGGTTAGTCACATGTAAAGTAGTATATAGAACAGGATTTACAACAGTCTAATTTACTGTAAGGTAAATGAAAATGTTATATCATCAAGATTGTTAATTTATGTGTGTGACGTTAAGGTCTGTACTGTAAGCAGGGTATATTTGGAAATTAAGGGTAATCTGAGAGAGAACGGTGTAGTGATTACACCAGGAAGGAGCCTTGGCTTTGCTCTCTGCATACCTTTAGTGCACCCTTGTGGTGTGAAAATGTCCATGCAGCCTCCAAAGACCGCTGGAACCCCACCGTGTATGAAAGAAGCTAGCGCTCACTCAAACCCATTTTCAGACTACTTTAAAAGCAGGACGGTAGTGCGTGGCCAGAGCAGTCAGCAGAATGCCTGCCGTCTCCTAAACTCCATGTGGCCGCTTACTGTAAGAAGACAGTTAAGGAGCGGCGAAGAGGCTTATGGGTAGCTCCCACTGATTCTTTTTTTTCATTGAAATGAATCTGGCTGTCTAAGGTAGTCTACTTGAGTGATAGGATGTTGTAGTTTGTGCCAGAGGTGAGTCTCAGTAGGTTCTCTTCTGTGACGGAGCTTGTGTAGGAAGGCTGGTAGGAAGGAGGCTCTCTGGGAAGTGGCAGTTGCTGCAGCAACTGAGGTAGAAAGGTGGTGGTGTTTGATGGTGAGTATTGACTAGGAAAGTCAACTAGTACTTAGGAAAATGTATGCGTAAGTCCCCTTCTAACAGGAGGAACTTGGTAACAAAAGACAAGAATGTAAGACTTCGCATAACCTTGTACCTTTTCAGTTTTTGTTTGTTTGTTTGTTTGTTTGTTTTTCGAGACAGGGTTTCTCTGTGTAGTTTTGCGCCTTTCCTGGATCTTGCTCTGTAGTCCAGGCTGGCCTGGAACTCACAGAGATCCGCCTGCCTCTGCCTCCCGAGTGCTGGGATTAAAGGCATGCGCCACCACCGCCCGTCCCTTTTCAGTTTTAAACTGTGTGAATACATTTTACAAATTTTATTTACTTTTTAGTTTTTGTTTTAGGGAGATTTTGGTTTTGCTTTGTGAGATGGTTTCTTGTAGCCCAGGCAGACATCATCAGACTCTGTGTAGCCAAGGATGACCTTGTTCTGAATACAGGCATGTGCCCCATGCCTGGCTTATTTTTGCTGCATTTACTTACTGACTTATTTATTTATTTAATCACTGGACCTAGCTATCTGTCTGTCAATCAATCTATCTATCTATCTATCTATCTATCTATCTACCTACCTACCTACCTACCTACCTATTTATTTATTTATTTATTTTGAGACAGAGTCTCTCTATACGGCCAAGGCTAACATGGAAATCACTAGGAAGTCCAGGCTAGACTTGAACTGGTGGTGATCCTCCTGTCTCTGCCTCCCACGTAGTGGGATACATCAGCATGCCGCCTTTTATTTCCTTTAGGCTTTGTTGCTGAGGCTGGTTCTCAAGTCTTGGACTTAACTGATCCTTCTGCCTCGGGTCCCAAATAGGTGGGACTTAGGGACATTCCTATTCCTGGTTTGTATAATTTACTTTTATAAGACATTAAAACATATCATTTTATGTGTCATTTTCTTACATCATAAGAAATAAATGTGTGGCCTGTAGTGCTGTCATTATTGGGGGACATTAGGAGTAAGTCTTCAATTCAAATTACAAAATACTCTTTGAGAAAAACAGTTACAGTTTCTATGAGTGTCAGAACAGCTTGTATGAGATAATTCTCCCATAGCTACCCCTTACAGGCTCTGGAAAAATATTCTTAAAATAGTGGATGTATAATCCCACCCGCTCTCAAGATTTATTTAGGAGAATTTTAAGTTCAGGTCTGCTTAGATATCTTAGTGAGACCTGTTTCAAAATAAAAAATAAAACCAGCACTTGGGATATAGTGTGGTGATATAGTACAGTACTTACTTAGAATTCAAGAGGCCCTAAGTTCAGTCCCTAGACACACACACACACACACACACACACACACACACACACGGCCAGAGGATGAGAAACAATCACTCATTCAGTCACAAAAACACAACTAGGAATGTTTGAAACCATTTGAAATTAAACACCGTGCTTCTCAGGAATCTGAGTCAGTACTAAGCAGATTCTTGCATACCCATGCTTATTATGGCACCATTCACAATAGACAAGTAACAGAACCGGCCTGGATGCTGACCAGTAGATGAATAGGTAAAGGAAATATGGTGTGTGTAGACAGTGGAATTTTATCCAGCCATAAAAAATGAAATTATGACTCAGAAAAAATGGATGAAACTGCTGAGAATTATGTTAAGTAAAATAAGCCAGATTCAGAAAGACAGACTACCTGTTCACCTTCTCATGTAGAACATAGATTTGAATTACTATATATTACATAGACATGAAACAGAAAGTGGATTGAAGGGAGGGTGACGTCTGAAGGGGAGAAGGGACCAGAGAGGGCCATGGACTCTGTGATTTGAGAGCAGAAGGGACTGCTAAGGAGTGGGGAGGAGGAAGAGGGGGACGAACAAAATACGATGGTATGTATGTGTAAAATGTCAGGATGAGCCCGTGACTTTTTTGCATACTAACTGAAAAATTAATTTAAAAAATTAAGAGAAATATATAGTATAGTGCCACGCCAGGCATCCTGGTTCCCTACCTTTTAATTAATTAACTAATTAATTAGTTAATTTTTGGTTTAAAAAAAAAAGAGCTTGTTTTGATTACTGCCCCCCCCATTAAAGTATCAATTTCTTCTTAAAAATAAATAGGTGAGTGATATAAAGTAAAAGGCCTGACCAAAAGAAAACTTCTCCCTCACTGATTTCCCTCCTGGTTCTGCCTGGGAGGGGCACAGCGGAGCCTCCCAAGGGGAGGCTTTATCTTGTTCTGGGCGGGAGCTACTGACTATGTAACAGTGTGAATCAGGTATAGGTACATTTGTGGTCTTTGCTCTTTATTTGTAGTTTATACTTCAGTTTAATGACTTGTTTTAGCAAGCAAAAATGTGAACAGGTATCTCCTTCAGAGTTAGTATCACTGCTGCTTCCTTTTGTCAGAACATGGGGTCACACCCTTGTTTTGCTTCTGCCTTAGAAACACTTATCGCATGATTGAGCAAGATGACTTTGACATCAACACCAGGCTCCATACAATCGTCAGAGGGGAAGACGAAGCAGCCATGGTAGAGTCAGTAGGCCTAGCTCTAGTGAAGCTACCAGATGTCCTTAATCGCCTGAAGCCTGACATCATGATCGTTCATGGAGACCGATTTGACGCCCTGGCTCTGGCTACCTCTGCTGCCTTGATGAACATCCGAATCCTTCACATTGAAGGGGGAGAGGTCAGTGGGACCATTGATGACTCCATCAGACATGCTATCACCAAACTGGCTCATTACCACGTGTGCTGCACCAGAAGTGCGGAGCAGCACCTGATATCCATGTGCGAGGACCATGACCGCATCCTTTTGGCAGGCTGCCCTTCCTATGACAAACTGCTCTCAGCCAAGAATAAAGACTATATGAGCGTCATTCGGATGTGGCTTGGTACGTATGCCAGACTTTATCCATGCTAATGGTTGTTTTCGTCAGAAAGTGTTGGGTATATTTCAGTCTTTTTGGAAACTCATGGACATAATATTCCATTAGAGACCAGAGAGCTAAGATTTTACTTGCTTTGTGGTCTGTCTTTACCTCCAAGGTTCTCTATAAAATACAAATACTGGATTGATTTTAAAAATCTATGCTGTGTTTGTACATACGGAATGCTTTTACTCCACTAAATATTTTAGTGAGTAGTGTTCACAAGGATAGTTCTTTAACAGTTTTAATATATGGATTGATGAAGTTTTAAAAAAATTAATTTTAGTATTATGTGCAAACATGCATATGTGTATATGCCCAAAACGTGGTGTGCGTATGTGTGGAGGTCAACGCAAGCCTCTGGAGTCTTCCTCTCCTCCCGCTGTGTGATCTGGGGTGGAACTCAGGTCAACAGACTTAACCTGCTGGCCTTCCATTTTCTTTCTTTCTTTCTTTTTTTTTTTCTTTTTTGAGACAGGATCTAGTGTAGTCTGGACTTGAACTTATTATATAGCTCAGGATAAACTTGAACTCTTGATCCTCCTGCATCTACCTCCTAAGTGCTAGGATTACAGGCATATGCTACCATACTTGTCCAGGAGCACAGTTCTTACTTTATCAAAAAATGGGGAAAAGGAGGAGATGGCTCACTGGGTCAGATGTCTGGCCTACAAGCATGAAGACCTGAGTTGATCCCTAAGAATCCACGTCAAAAAGCCAGCTGTGGTGGTGTGTCCTTGCCTCGCATGGTGGGCACATGGGTGGGGTGGGGTGCAGGAGACAGTGGGGGCAGCCAGTCCAGCTGAATTGCTAAGCTCTGGATTTGGCGAGAGAGGCGTCTCAAGAGGTGAGGTGGAGAGCTCCTGAGGAAGACAGCCCGTTGCCCTCTGGCCTCCACATGAGCACATGCATGCACGTGGATACACAGGCACCCAGTGTGGGGAAGTACACTGGAAACTGTGTGTATAATATGATCCATTTCTGTAAAAGCTGTGACAGTGAAAAGACTAGAACGTAGGTGAATCTCACTGATTTTATTATTTTCCAGTGTGAGCTTAGGGTACTTGTACTTTTTCTATTTTTTTTTTTTCTTGGTTTTTCGAGACAGGGTTTCTCTGTGTAACAGCCCTGGCTGTCCTGGAAGGCTGGCCTCCATCTCAGAGATCTGCCTGCCTCTGTCTCCCGAATGCTGGGGTTGAAGGCGTGCACCACCACGGCTTGGCTGCATTTTATTCTTTAGTGTGGAAAATTGTTGTTTTTACTTGTGTGTGTGCACATGTGCACTCTGTGGAGGCCGGAGGTGATGTCTAGTGTTTTCCTCTATTGCTGTTTGTTTGACACCTGGTCTCTCACTGAACTGCAGCTGACTGATTTGGCCAAACTGGCCGACAACAAGCCCCAGAGTCTCTTGTCCCTCGTACCTCAGTGCTGGGGTTATGGCACATAATGCTATGTTGAGGGTTTTTGGTTTTGTTTTTTTGGGCTTTTGGTTGTTTTTGTTATTGTTGTTGTTTGTTTGTTTGTTTTGAGACAGGGTCTACTGTGTATCCCTAGCTGGCCTGGAACTTGCTATTCAGCCTTGAACTCACAGCGCTCCTCCTTCCTCCCTGTGCCCTCCTTCCAAGTCCTGGAATAAAAGGTACGTGCCACCATGCCTGGCTCAAACCTGTTTTTTATGTGGGCTCTAGGGATTCGAACACTGTTCCTCAGGCTTGCACACCAAGCAGTCTACCCACTGAGTCATCTCTCCAAACCCCACAGGACACTCAGAGATCACAGGACACTTCGTGCGAGTCGATTCTTTCACCTTGTGGGCCCCTGGGCTCAGACTCAGGTGTCAGGCCCAGTAGCAAGCACCTTTACCCACTGAGCTTCTTGACGAGCCCAAATTAGCTATATTTTCAGTTTAGCCACATTACAACAGAAAAGGAATTGATCCATTTTCTGTGAGTCTTAACCTTGGGTAGATGCGCAGCCGTCAAGGGTCCCATCTAGGTAATGCTGCTGGAGTGAACCGGTCTCTCCGCTCTTCTGTGTCTCTTCATTCTTCTTTTGAGTAAATACTCCTGCATTCTGCTCTGATCATACCGTTAGCTTTCCTTTTATCATGGAAAATATGTCACCGAGAAACTAATGAATAGAAAGAAACCATGAGAAAGCCAGAGTGCAGGGCCAGCGAGATGGCCCAGCAGGCGAAGACTCTTGCCCCTGACAGTACAGTCTGGACAGCCCGTATGAGGTGGAAGAGACCTGGCTCCACAGAATTGCCCTCTGACCTCCACATGTGTGCAGCAGCATGTACACCCCCCCACGTCAGGCCCACAAAGAATCCTAATTTTTTAAAAATCAAGAAAACAATGCAATGAGATTGTAAATACAAGCTTAAAGACCTATTTGACCGTTTATACTTCACTATGGAAAGAGCAAAACCTGGATTTTTAGTTTTTATATTTATTCCTTTATTTTTAGACAGGGCCTTGCTATATAGCTGTGGCTGTCCTGGCGCACATTGGATAGGCCAGGCTAGTCTCAAAATGGCGGCATTCCTGCCTCCTTCTCCCGTGCACTGGGCTTACATGTGGGCACACAACGCCCAGCTTCTTGTCTTAATTTAAACTGGTGAAAAGGAAGACAGAAGACAGTGAACAAAACTATGTCTGGCAACAACACATTTTGTACAGATAACACAATTTGCTTTCCGCTAGCAGCTTCTTTTGGTTTCAGTTTGTTTACAGGCCACTTATATCTGTCACCTGAACATTAATATTACCGCAATGAAAGTACTAGCAGGGTTGAAAGGTATGTTAAGCTCTTAATAATGAGAGGCATCCCAACAGCAAATATCAGTCTTTACTGCCAGGAATAGATCATTTGACGAGCCCAAATTAGCTCCATTTTAAATTTAGTCATATTACAACAGAATGGCTTGAGCTTTACTTCTCAGAATGGGGGGGAAAAAAACAAAAAACCACCACAACAAACAGAAAACACCTAGCCAGGTATGGTGGCATATTCCTGTAATCCTAGCTCTGGGAGGAGATCAAGAGTTCAAAGTAGTCTTTAGCTATATTGAGTTCAAGGCCAACCTGCAATAATACATGAAACCCTGTCTCAAAAAAAAAACAAAAAAACAAAAACAAAACGCTGGTGAGATGGCTCAGGTAGCTGGTCAGGGCACTTGACCCCAAGCCTGAGTTTGATCCCTGGAGCCCACATGAGGGAAGGAGACTACTGCAAGGTATGCTCTACAGGTCATAGCATGCACATGAACCCTCACTAATAGAGATAATAACTAAAACAAGCTTTTAAAAAATTGCACTCCAAGGAGAAGGTAAATGAGAAGCAGAAGTCGTTCGTGGAGTAAACTCTTAGAATTCTTTCCCTGAGGCTTGTGCGTACTCTTTACCAACAAATTGTATAGAATGGTCCTTTACAAGCTCTTTAACACGCCACCCCTCGGGGCTGTAGCTGGCTACTGACTAGTGAACTCTGGGTTTAATTCCCAGACCCCTGCGGGTGTGAGGGGAATCCTCTCACTTTCAGAGAAAATCCTCTGGAAAGCCCAGAGATGAGAGACTTGCCTTCTGTGTGTTTTCAAGATAATAGGTAGACGCAGAATGAAGATGGAGGACGGGGCGAAGAGACTGAGAGGAGATTGTGTCCTTCACACTACTGTCTCCGTAGACATCTGTGTTCTGGCTACTACGTAGGGATAATTACAAGTCCCTCAACTACCACGTTAAAGCTGACAACATTCCTCTGGTTACCAGTCGGGAGTGAGCTGAGTCACGGTACAGCACGTGTTCCAGCTGTGCTTTCAAGTGGAACTGTACATTGTGTTGCCTTGTCAGCCATGGTACAGTGGATCTGGGCACTCAGATCATCTGCACCTCTATTAGCTCATCCTTTAGACTTCTGCTAACCCTAATAGGAAGGGCGCTCTCCCTTTTCACTTTTGAAAATGTGTTCCAGGCCATCAGGACTGCACAGTGAGACCCTGCCTCATAAAACAAACAACAGCAACAAGAAGAGTCCTAACTAATGAAGCACTGTGGTTCGCCTTTCTTTAAACAGGTGATGATGTAAAATGTAAAGATTACATTGTTGCACTGCAGCACCCTGTGACCACTGACATTAAGCATTCCATAAAGATGTTTGAATTAACACTGGATGCACTTATCTCATTTAACAAGAGGACCCTAGTTCTGTTTCCAAATATTGATGCAGGTAATGGAACTTAATGAAGTTATGCCATCTGCTTTTCCAAACCTTAATTTCTGTCACTTGCCTCTGACTGTCGCCTGTTCTTGCCCAACTTATCATTAAAGGCCCTTTGGGAATGCATCCCAGTCCAGGTTACCTGTCTTGCTCTAGATGAAAATGTGGTGATGTCTTAGTCAACTCTGGTAGAAACAACAGGAAGTAAATGTTTGTAAGAACCCCACTGTTCTGTAGTTTGCTCTCATGCTTAGCCTGCCCCCCCCAGTTTCCACTGAGAAGAAACTCGAAGAGCGTGAGATATAAGCCTCAGAGGTCAAGGTCACGAGTGTCTCTAGGCAAGTAACGATGCCACTGGCATTACTAATTTTTGTTTTCTTTCCTGCTTATGTTAGCTATGCTTCAAAGTATGATCTTGAGCTTAAGTAGTTTGGATCTCAAGGCCCCAGCCCCCTCAGGCCTGCTGTGGTTGATCACCTGCCTGATAGCTGTGAATTTTAGTGCTAAGTGAGACCTTAGGCAAGTGATGGGGAGCTGAGATACGAAAGACAGATGTTAGACCAGGGCCTGGCACTGAGGGATTTTCAAATCCCGGTTGTTGTAGCTGACATCACTCACTGCAGAGCTCTTGGGATTCTTTTGGTAACAGAAGTGGGACATTTCTTTGAAATGCTAACTATTGCCATCTTACTTCTGAAGAACCTTTTCTGTTAGAAAAAACAGGACTCTCAACCCAGATTTTGGTCAGGTAATACCGCAATATTTCAAAATCCTTTATAATACTTTTAGTTCCTTTAAGTTTTGTATAAGTAATTATAATATATCTGCTTACCTCCGAATGATGTGCTCTATTTGTAATAACTTTCTGGAATGTGTACACGTTAGAATTAGAGATGTTTTTTTTTATTAAAAAAATGGACCCTGATGTGTAGTGTGGTATTATGTATTTGCAGTCACAATTAGTCAGAGCTGAGGGGAAGGATCCCTTGGGACACTGACTCAAAGAAAAAATCTTTCTGATTTAAAGGAAAATTATTGAGTCATGTCCCTGCACACACCTCTGCTGTCCATGGAGCAGCAGGGGACTCTTGTCAGTCTGTGGCTCAGTGCCCCCGCATGCCTGTGGTTCCAGGGAGGTGGGCTCTTGGGAAGACTAGATTAGTGCACGTGGCTTAGGCTTCAAACCAAAGTGGAGCCTTGGATTAGGAGGACCTTCTGGAGCACCATATTCTCCCATCATTGTAGATGAGGGCTGGCATTTAGGGAGGGAAGTGGCCAGTCATCTTCCAGGGAGTTGGAATCCTGAGCCCATCTACCTGTCTTGCCACAGAAAGAAAGTTTTAAAAACAGCTTCTGGTGGCCCGATGACTTCTGTCCATTGGTGAGCGTTGTGTGGGCGTTGTCTGCCCTAAGTCAGACGAACCACTTGTCCTCACATGGCTAGAAGAGAGTGACTGAAACAGCAGAGGCACCGTGTGACTGCACTCACCTGGAATCCTAGCATCCAGGAGGAAGAGGCAGGAGGCTCACAAGTTCCCGGCCAGGGCTGGAGAGGTGGCTCAGGGGTTAAAAGCTTGTGCTGTTCTTTTAGAGGCCCTGGGTTTGTTTCCCAGCACCCATGGTGGGCAGCTCACAACTACCTGTAACTACAGTTCCAAGGTGGAGTCAACCCCTCTGGCCTCCATAAGCACCTTTCATGTACACAAACATGAGACCTTGTTTCAAAAAATAAGAAGCAGGACTAGAGAGATGGTTAGGGTTGTTAAAAGTGGACTGCTTATGCAGCACACCTGGGTTCAGTTCCCATATGGCAGCTCACAGTGGTCTGTACTCCAATTCCAAGGGGATTTGATGTTCTTTTGGCCTCCGTGGGCTCCTGCATGCAGGAGGTACCCATAAACTTGCACATGCAAACATATACACATAAGTAAGTCAGGAAGTCTTTTTTTTTTTTTTAGAAATTCTTATCCCCCAAAGCTAAGGAAGAGGTTGGGATATGGCTTAGTAGTTAAGAACTTGCAATGAAAAAGTGGGCATGAATTTAGATCCACTGTGCACAAGTAGATGTCTGCAGGGCATGGTGACCTCCCTGTAATTCCAGCCTTAGAAGGCAGAGATGTGAGAACACACACACACACACACACACACACACACACACACACACACACACACACACACTCACGCGTGCGCGCGGAAAAAAAAAACAAGGAAGGGAGGGGAGATTAGTTTTTTTCTCGGAGCTGTAAATTGCTTTAAAGTGCTCTATTTTAAAATGAAATACCAGCTGTGGTGTCAGACCCTATCCACATTGCCTCCAAGTTTAGTTCCCAAAGGCGGGAGTTTGTGTTCGTGGAAACGGGAGCAGAGTTAGGCAAAGCCACTCCAATCGGCTCATGTATGGAGTCTATGACCTTCCTGCTTAGAAACTCTGGCTTGTTTGTAGCCTCTTAATTAAGGTGGAAGTTCATACTGAGGCATTAATAAAATAAACTCGCTTTGCTAAGTTCTGTGTGAAACCCCAGCTGCTACTGAGTGAGCTGGATGAGACGCAGAGAGTTGACCACACGTGTTACGTGGTGCTCATGAAAATCCCAGCACCAGAGAGTGGAAAGATGGGTGGTTCAAGTGACAATTTTCCTAGTGACTGGTACGAGGATTAGGGCTGTACCAGCCACTAAAAATGATTTCTTTGTCTCATTCATTAAATGGTCGCATCTGATCCTTCGACCTTCTTGTTTTCGCAGGGAGCAAGGAGATGGTCCGAGTGATGCGGAAGAAGGGCATCGAGCATCACCCCAATTTCCGGGCAGTCAAGCACGTCCCATTTGACCAGTTTATACAGCTGGTTGCCCATGCTGGTTGTATGATTGGGAATAGCAGCTGCGGAGTGCGAGAGGTTGGCGCTTTTGGAACACCTGTGATCAACCTGGGAACACGCCAGATCGGAAGAGAAACAGGTGTTTACCTTCGCCTATGTCTCAGCTGACTAGTATCTCTCATCTCTGTGGCCATGTGATGGACTGGTGCTGGCCACATTTTTTTTTTTTTTTTGAGAACTTCACAGATGAGTACTGTATTTACATCATTTCTACTCCTCTTCCCCTTCCAACTCCTCCTGTTTTCCCCCTCCACTTCCTCTCAGATCCATGACTTCTTCTGACTATTGTTTCACACACACACACACAAACACACACACACACACACACACACACACACACACACACACACACACCCCTATTGAATCCATTTACTGTTGCTTATTTGTATGTGTTTAGGGCTGACCACTTGGGATTAGATAGCCTATGAAGGAGCCTGTGCCTGGGGAAAACTGATTCTCCCTCTCAACAACCATTGAGCCTGTAGTTCTTCTATCTAGGGGTGAGGCCTTGTGAAGTTTCCCCCCTCCACACTGTTATGTCAGCTGATGTTGCCATTATGCAGGTCTTATTTAGGCAACCATATTGTTGAGATTTAATGGGTGTGGATTCCCTGTCATGTCTAGAAGACACTATCTCAAAGAAGATGTTCTGGTCCTCTGGCCCTTAAAACCTTTCTGCACCCACTTGGGTGATTTTCCCTGAGCCTTAGGTATAGGGTTGTGTTGCAGATGCACAGTTGGGGGAGGCCACCCCACAGTCACTTGTTCTCTGCATTTTGACCACTTCTGAATCTCTGTAATAGTCTCTATCTGATGCAAGAAGATGCTTCTTTGATGAGGGGTAAGAGCTCCACTTATCTTCGGGGATAAGGACAACTATTTAGAGTGCAGTTAGACGTTATATTGGTTAGGAGTGTGGCAGCTCTCCTGTAGGGTCTCTGACATCTCCAGCTACTGACAGTTGGCTAAGTTTATATGAATTCCCTCCTGTTGAGTGGGCCTTAAGTCCAGTTAAACAGCTGCTGTTTAAATGCCGCTATTACACCATTGGGGTGACTTGTCACACGGTCATTGCTGTGCTTTGTAGGCTTTACATCCGGTAAGACTCTTGGTTGCTTTCTCCTTTGGCATTTTGAATAGCACCTTCCAATGCTATGCGAGCCAATCCATGGGGAGGGGGCTCCTAGGTCAGTTCCAGCTTGATTCCTCTAAGTCCTGTGGCCAAAGTGCATGGTATATTCAGCGATAGGTCTTTATGTTCCTGTTCTAGAAGGCAATAGCCTATATTGTTTGGGGATCTTTTGAACCCCCGACCAACAGTTCCAAGGGATGTTTCCCATTCTTGACACTGAGGTTTTTGTTAGTCTGTCTCTTGCATGTGTAGGGGGCAGGGAGAACATTACCACCTCATGTGGCATAACTCTACTTAAAAAAGTGTGTGTGTGTGTGTGTGTGTGTGTATTTAAGTAAGCTTATAAAATTGTGCATTTTCCAACATTCTTGGTGTTACCATCCTTCCTTCTTCCCTCTCACTCTCTATTTCCTTCCTTCCACCCTCCGCAGCTAAAGCCTCCGTTTCCCCTCCCCATATAGCGCCTGTGTCATACTATCCCTCCTCTCCTCGTGGTCCCTTCCTGCTTTTCTGGCTTCTGTGCTTATTCCAGGTTCTATACCAGATCTAAAGACTGGGAGCTGGGATCCACGAATCAGAACACGCAGTGTTTATTTCTACATCTGGGTTTCCTCACTCGGTGTAGTGTTTTCTAGTCCCATCTGTTGACCTGCACATTTCATGATTTATCCATTCATCAGTTGAAGGACATGTAGATTGTTTCCATTTCCTAGCTATTGTGAGTAGAGTGGCAAGGAACTTGGATGAGCAAGTATCTCTGTCGTAGGATGTTAAGTTTAGGTATATCTTTATATACTTAGGTATATGCTTTGGGTATATCTGGCCACATGTTTTTGTGAACAAGTAGGTGAGTGAATGACCAATTGTAGCCTAATATCTATAAATAACACAGATGATTACCACATTCATAGCTCTATTTGCATTTTTATTCCTTTGTAAAATCAATTAGAGCTAAATGGTTCTTAATTATGGTCTTTGGCCTTGTTTAAGAGAGGCTGTAGTTGAATGTGTCTTGAGTGTGTGAATGCTGGTCTGTATTCTGAGCCTGGTTGATGTCCTTTCGGTCTGTAAGTATGACAGTCCTAGTAATGACAGTGGAAGTAGGATTATTAATGTGTGTGCTAACTGAGCTGTGTATGTGATCAGCGTTAGTCAGGTTCTAATGCTGTATACATGCAAATATGTATCAGTAGCTAATGAGAAAATGCATGTCATTAATGGAAAAAGAATTGGACTAGAACGAAGGATTAGTTCCAGCTCTGCTGTTTCTTCCATTCTTTTTCATCGCCGCCCTGTGTTTCTATTATGTTTACGTCACACCCTGTTTTATAGAGAAAATAGAATTCCAGGATGGAAATTCTTTCAGATCTGTTAAGGAAACACTTATGGTGTACAAGGCACTGGGCTATAAGGTACCAGACAAAGGAGCTAAGGACGCGGTACAGTTGGTAGAGTGCTCACTCGGCATGCAGGAAGCCCTGGGTTCAGTCTCCAGCACCAAGGCAGGACGGTGCACGCCTGTAAACCTAGCACTTGGAAGGTCGAGGCAGAGGGATCAGAAGTTCAAGGTGTCCTTGGCTACATAGCAAGTTCAAAACCAGCCTATGCTATGTGAGACCCTTCCTTTGAGGAAGAAATTGAAAGAGTGCTCGGTGCCTCATGGTGGGAGGAAAGCTTTAGAAAAGAAGGAGTGAGGAAGCCCACATTACCAGGAAAAAAAAGGTATGCTTTGGCTCAACTGGCATCCAAGAGAAAGAAACAGAAAGCAAGGGAAGGGAAGGAAAGGGAAAGTTACGCTTTTCTGAATCAGAACTCAGAAAGACGGGCAGACCCAACAGAACTTCATGGTAGTTTGTAGGGACTGCCAAGTGCTGTGCTCTTGTATAATTGACGTTTTAGTGGTGTAGGGAAGATGATAAGCAGCCCAAAAGGAAGATATTAGGATCTCTAGGTGTCGTGTAGACTGTAATGCAAGGTAATGGGATGGGCTACATTAAACGCTGAAGGAAGGCCTCTTCGAAAGAAGACACTTTTAAGCTGAGATCAGGCAGAAGTAGATGAACAGCCCATGCCAAGGATATAATCTTGATACTGAGTCAGCCTGATTGTAAACTATTAGCTAAGAAGCAGATGAGAGCCTGGTGTGTGGCGCACGCCTTTAATGCCAGCACTCGGGAGGCAGTGGCAGGAGGATCTCTGTGAGCTGAGACCAGCCTGGTCTACAGAGCAAACTGCAGGATAGCCAGGACTACATCGAGAGACCCTTATTCTCCCTCTGCCCAAAAAATGAGAGGCAAACTTTTTCGCCTCCAGACAGGGTCTCTGTGTAGCACTGGCTGCCCAGGAACTTGCAGTGTAGACCAGGCTGGCCCAAACTCAATAATCCACCTGCTTTTGTCTCCCAAGTGCTGGGATTAAAGGTGTGCACTACTACCCCAACTGAGACAGACTTTTATAAGCTAAAATACTGATGTCCTAGTTGGCTTTCTTTGCTGTGGCAAACACTTGGGGAGGAAAGGGTTTATTTCCTCTTACAGCTTATAATCTATCATGAAGGGAAGCTGGAGCAGGAACTGAAGCAGAGGCCATGGAGGAGAACTACTTCTTGCTCCTTACGGCTTGTTCAGCTTGCTTTCTTATATATATCCATCCTAGGATCTCCAGCCCAAGGCGGGGACCTCAATCAAGAAAATGTCTCTGTAAGATCAGGCTATAGTAGGGCTGCAGGGCATTTTTTAAACCACTGATCAATGGGGGAGGGCCCAGCCCATTGTGGGTGGTGCCATGCCTTGGCTGGTAGTCTTGGGTTCTTTAAGAAAGCAGGCTGAGCAATACACAAGGGGCAAGCCAGTAAGCAGCACCTGCCTCCAGGTTCCTACCTGCTTGAGTTCCTGTCCTGACTTCCTTTGATGATGAACTGTGATGTGGAAGTGTAAGCCAAATAAAGCCTCTCCTCTTCAAGTTGCTTTGGTCATGGTGTTTCCTCACAGCAATAACAACCCAAAGAAAGACAGTGGTGTATTAAAGATAGAGAAAAATTACATTCGGATGTTGTCACTAAGCTTCCTAGTGCATGTGAGCTGCAGATGGAGAGAACCGATGGTAATGCTTAGATTTTGTACTGGGCAGTGAGGTGTACTTTCATGCCAGGGGGCCCTGCAGAAGAAACAGTGGGGACGGATGGAATTAAGAGTTTGCTTGTTGCCATGTTCAGGTAGTGCCAATTAGATCATCAAAGCAGAGACGACAAGGAGCTGGACTGTGTCAGGGAGATTGACAGATGGAGGTGAATTTGACAGTCGGTGGCTGTAGATGGGGTGGTGGGACATCGGTTCACTTGCTGTAGCAGAGACCCCTAAGCAGCAGGAAGTTGATTTTTTTCTTCCTGGTGTGGCAGCTCCACAGCCATCAGAAGCAGCCTATGTGCTTGGTGGGTATTCTAGCTTTTCCTTTTCTTTTCTTTTTCTGTTTTTTTTTTTTGAGGAAAGGAAGGAAGGATCAATTACCTTGAAAGTTGTAAATATTTCCTCTCACATCCATCAGAACCTAGTCATTACAGGCTACATCTAGCTACAAGGAAAGCCGAAGAATAGTTTTGGGTAGACAGTCCAATTCCCAGCTAAAAGTTCCATCATTAGTACTACAAAGATGATACTGAGGCTAAGGGCCTCTGCTGTAGATAGTACTTAAAACCCAGGAACCCAGGGGGAACGTCTAAATGGGGCAGAAAATGCAGCCGGGACCAACCTTGAAACTGCTCAACAGTGAAATAGAAGGCCAGAACAGAAAACCGAAAAGGAACTTTCAGTGATGTCATAGGAAAGCCAGAAGACTGTGCTATTGTTAGAGTCCAGAAGGAAATAGTTCCAGGAGATGATGTTGAAAGCTGCTATGAGCCCAAATAAGAGGTCACAGGAGCTAGGCATGATGGTACAGGCCTGGTGGCACACACCTGTGGTCCCGGAACTCTGGAGGTGGATTTGGCAGTATGGTCTCCGTACTTCCTGTCACTGCACTTACATGAATGTATGTTTCCCATCAGGATTCCCTTCCTTCTAACCTTCTTTCAGTGGAGTCAGGGGTCAGGGAGATGAATGTGTTTCCTGCTTATCTACTGCTCATCTTCTACACTCGAAATCCCCACCCTTCCTGCCTCTTGTAGACCTATCTGCTCATCAGTCAGCTTTCTCTTCCATGTGTGCTTGACTTCTCCATCAAACATGCTTAGGCTCTCTGATTTTAGGAACAGAAGTAAACCCTCCTCTGGCCCTCCTTTCTCTCCAGACGCCTCTCCTCCTCTCCTCTTAGCCAAGCCTGGTGGAAACCTGGCTACTTGTGATGTCTACTCTCTCACATTGGCCAAGGGATAGACAGAGAGAAAATGCCTGCCCAAGGACTGGCCGGCCGGCCCTGCCTGGCTGCTGACCGAACGACTGCCTAGTTGAGAGTGGACTCGGTAGATAGGTAGGCAAACAGTTTGTCAGTGTTAGATTAATTCCCCCTACCCAGGTATGGCAGTACATGCCCGTAATCCCACTCAGGATGGTCATGAGTTCGAAGCTAACCTAGGCTGTCGAGCAAGACTCTGCCAAAATAAACAAGCCTCTGTGTGATGGCACACACCTGTGATCTTGTCACTTGGGGAGACTCGGGGAGTGCCACAGGTTAGGTGCCAGCCAGGTCTACAGAGTGAGACCTTATCTCTAAAACCAAAACCAAGTAAGCATTCACTAAGTGACCTTGTCTGAGGTAAGGAAGTCTTATCAGCAGTACTTCAATCTGCTGGGTTTTAGGACTCAGTTATGAATCCGGCACACTGCTATTTGGTTTTCTGTGGATAGTCACACTTCAAGTCCTTCTAACATGTCCGTGGATTTATTTAGGGGAGAATGTTCTTCATGTCCGGGATGCTGACACTCAAGATAAAATATTACAAGCTCTCCACCTCCAGTTTGGTAAACAGTACCCTTGGTGAGTATACGGCCTTTCATTGTGGGGGTTAAAAGGGGAGCTGCCTCAGGCACCAGGGAAGCTTGGCCCATCATGGTTTAACCGTCTCTACAGGACCTTCTTTCTTCCATTAGCGTCTCTACAGGACCTTCCTTCCTTCTTCCATTAGCGTCTCTACAGGACCTTCCTTCCTTCTTCCATTAGCGCACCCTAGCCGCTGGGAAGACAAGATGTCCAGGTTCCAGTGGAGAAGTCTTAAAATTTGCCTCTGTTAATCACAATGGTACTACCCCTACAGTGTGTTTCTCTGGTGTAATTTGACTACATATTAGAAAACAGTGTACTGGGTTTTCTTTAAAACTTAATTTTGGCTGTTCTTCCTTCTATTTCAATATGGTAATTTCTCAGAAATGTAAAGAAAAAACTTCTAAAATAGCAAAAAACCAAATCAAGACAGAAAACCCCAAATTCAGGTACTAAGTTACAATGTTGTCAAAAGGTCCAGATGTTACTGTAGTTAGTTCTACATAGTTATGACTTGTGGGGTTGTTGTTGTGTTTTTGTTTTTGTGTTTTGAGACAAGGTCTCTCTGTTGTGCAGCCCTGGCTGTCCTAGAACTCACTGTGTAAGCCAGGCTAGCCTCAAACTCTGCCTCTACGTCCCAATTGCTGGGATTAAAGGTATATGTCACCAGGCCCGACTGTAGTTTCTGGGTCTTTTGTTTTGTTTTTTAATGACAGAAAATAAATTCATGGCATGATTTATCATGTGTATCACATTTTAAAGCACACACACACACACTGTGGGGATGTTTTATTTTATTTTTGTGGTGCAAGAGACTGAAGTCAGAGCTTCATGCATGTCAAGCAAGTGCTCTACCACATCTGCAGTCCCCCAGCCCAGAGAGGTTATTTTAAAGAGTACACATTGTTTCTACCTGAAGACTCGGTTTCAGCGCCCTTGGTGTCGCCTGCCGTATGGGGCAGAACCATTTCACTGAACTGACTTTTTTGGATATTGCAGCTCAAAGATATATGGGGATGGAAATGCTGTTCCAAGGATTTTAAAGTTTCTCAAATCTATTGACCTTCAAGAGCCACTACAGAAGAAATTCTGCTTCCCTCCTGTGAAGGAGAACATCTCTCAAGATATTGACCATATTCTTGAAACTCTGAGTGCCTTGGCTGTTGATCTTGGAGGGACAAATCTCAGAGTGGCAATAGTTAGCATGAAGGTAAAGTCATTGCAAAGCACTTAACTTTATGTCTCATGTGAGTGGTTGATTTTTTTTTTTTTAAACAGCCCTGGCTGTCCTGGAACTCCCTTTGTAGTCCAGGCTGGTTTCGAACTCAGAGACCCGCTTGCCTTTGCCTTCTGAGTGCTGGGATTAAAGGCATGTATCACCACGCCTGGCTGAGTAATTGACTTTTAAAATGTGTAAGTGGAAGATCGAACTAGAAATCACACAGGGAATTTGTCATCATTTGCCTGTAGTGCTGACTTTTGGATCCATTACAATGTTTATCTCATATCTACTGGTTGCTAACATTTCAAGCTGGTGTGGTAGCTAATGCTTATAATCCCAGTACTTGGGAGGCTGAGGCAGGAGTATTCCTGCAAGTTTGAAGCCAGCCTGGGCCACAGTATGAGACCTTGTCTCAAAAAACGAAAACACAGCAAAATAGACATTGAAAGAAGTAGACCATGGGAGCCAGGGTGGTGATTCTTGAGTTGGCAGTGGGGAGACCTTAGACATGAGAGAGGGCTTTGCTCTCAGGAAGACAGAAATTTTATAGTTGAAGACACCATGAGTGTAGAGTCCAGTGATCACCTCCCCACCTAGATGAGAGTCCCACAGGTGAAGAAATGAGCCTCTTCTGGAGCGTGGTGAGCTGTGTTTTTCCCAGTTTGCATTTTCAGAAGCTGATCTTCACAGAGGACCACACATGCCTTCACTCTGCTAACCAGCACAGTGCCGGCCGGAGCTCTGTCCGGCAGGGCGGGTGGGAAAAGCTTCGTGCAAACAGCAAACTGTGCTCAAATGATCTCTTACTCAATGGAAAACAAGCCTCCCAGGAAAATCTGCTTTCGGCATCACAGATATGTAAAGTTGCAAGAGTCCTTGAAAAATAGCAAAGATTTTAAACACAAATTATTAGAAATTTGCTATTAGGTCAATTAATGAAAAGCAAAATAAAACATAGTTTTCTCAAGAGAAGCCAGAAGGCCTCCCTATACTTTAAAAAAGTTAATAGACTCTTCTCTTAACATAGGATTTTTATCGGTGACCAACACCTCTTTAGAGGTGAAATTATAGAGACAGTTCTATTAAAATTGAGAAAAAAAAGTTTTCTGTATAATAAGGAATAAAGCAAGGGACAGCAAAAATGGAGATTATACATAACAAAAATATTATTGATAGGCCATGTGAATAAATTAACTGGATTATAAAGTTAGGATGATCCAGTAAATGACTGGATGTTATGATTAATATGTATCAGTAAATTTCTGGTTATGTGAATTTGTGACAAAGATTTTGGGTCTCTTTATGTGACCGTGTGTCAGACATGCCTGCACATTAGCATTCCATTAGCTCAGACGCTGTAATACTCCCAGTGCCTGGCTCCTGCCCCAGACTAATTACATTGGAACCTCTGGGGACAGCATAGCTGTGCTCTGCTGACTGTCACAGTAAAGACTGAGAAGCGCTCCTGTCAATTTCTTTTTAATGATAAACAGCTTTAACCCTTGTACTTGATGTGTAAAAATCCATTAATACGAAAGAATACAAAGGAAAAGGAGAGCCGATTCAGACCAACCCAGATTCCTAAGAATAATCGAAACCATAAAACTTTTATTTACATAAATACAGTTATGAAATAGTGCCATACAAAGGCCTAAAAAGATATCCTTCGGGAGGCAGAGGCAGGTGGATCTCTGTGAGTTCGAGGCCAGCCTGGTCTCCAAAGCGAATTCCAGGAAAGGCGCAAAGCTACACAGAGAAACCCTGTCTCGAAAAAACCAAAAAAAAAAAAAAAAAAAAAAAAAAGATATCCTTGCTGAAAGTGTTGAGTATTTTTAAATGTCAGCACCTCAAATTGGATTATAAATTTAACGTAATTATAGTCAACATTTCAATGGGATCTTAGTTTCATAAAGTGATCATAAGCTATTGGGATTGGTTTTTTATTTTTTGAGACAAGGTCTCTCTATATAGCCCTGGCTGTCCTGGAACTCGATCTGTAGACCAGGCTGGCCTCGAACTCAGAGATCTGTCTCCCGAGTGCTGGGATAAAAGCATGTGCCATCACCGCCTGGCTTGGGATTTTTTAATAACATTATTCTGAAACAAAATAATACACAGTTGAGGTGAGTAAAAAAAAAAAAACAAAACAAAAAACCCAAGACAAAAAAGCCCTGGAACACTAAGAATAATTGGGAGGGACTATCTCTGTCTTGAATTAAGTCATAGCCCACAGCACAGTCCACACAGAAAGTTGTCCTGAGTTCCGTAGTCACACCATTGCTGACTTCAGATCCAGTAGACGACTAAACTGTAAACACTAGGATAACCATTTAGTTGCCTCTGTATTGAACTTAGATAACTATGTCAACCTGGAAAGGTTTTTATGAACTGACCTTTTAAAGAACTGGATTTAGATTGCCCACCATTGACCACAAGTCTAACAGAGTCTTCCTCCGTGGCTGTGGAGTTGCTGTTGTTTCAGCAGCCTTGTGTTGGGATGGAGTCCAGGAAATTACTTAGGCTCATCTCAGGGACAAGTCACACCGTCCACAGCAACGTCTCCACGAGGGCTGATTGTCCCTGGAAAAAGCTGACTAACATTCACAGGATGAGTGTGCTCCTTAGCTACGGCCACCAAGACAGACCTGTGTTTTGTTGTGTTTTCTCTCTCCTTCTTCTAGGGTGAAATAGTTAAGAAGTACACTCAGTTCAATCCTAAAACCTACGAAGAGAGGATTAGTTTAATCCTACAGATGTGTGTGGAAGCCGCAGCAGAGGCTGTGAAACTGAACTGCAGAATTCTAGGAGTAGGTGAGACTTGCAATTACAGATCCAAGAACGTTCCTTTGTGTGTTCACAGTTCACCAAGTTCTTACACTTAACCTTGGGCAGGTGTCTGCCTGTGACTAGGTTCCAGGTTCTGTCTGGGCCCCAAGCATGCCTCATGCTGGCAAGCATTAGGGAGGAGGAGCGTGGCTGGTTCTATTGGTCTGTGGGCACTGTAGATTTATCTCAGAAATGTCTGATCCCTTGCAGTCCTTGGTACTTTGCAAGGAGATGTTGGGTGAATTAATTTATTTGGAGCCAAGAAAGTTGGCAGGCTTTCCTAAAATGGGTAATCAAAATTGTCTTCCCTGTTTGGCGTGGAGCTCAGGCATTTCCACAGGTGGCCGTGTGAATCCCCAGGAAGGAATTGTGCTGCATTCAACCAAACTGATACAGGAATGGAACTCTGTGGACCTCAGAACGCCCCTCTCTGACACCTTGCATCTCCCTGTGTGGGTGGACAACGATGGTAACTGTGCCGCCATGGCAGAAAGGAAGTTCGGCCAAGGAAAAGGACAGGAGAACTTCGTGACGCTCATCACAGGGACAGGTGAGAAGGAAGGATCTTGAGAACTGGCTTCAGCCCTCAGTGAGCTACGCCTTAGTCTTCACCTGCCACTGGAGTAGACCACCAGGGTGAGGCTCACACCAGAAGTAGAGCCTCCTCAGCCCTTTCCTCAGAGGGCAGTTCCATGGTAGAAGCATGCATGTGTCGACCACATGTGAAGCCCTATCTGCTGACCCCAGTATCACCGAGAAAAAAAAGAATAAAGAATTTTAGCCAGGCATGGTGGCTTACACCTGAAATCCTAGCACTTGAGAGGCAGAGGCAGGAGGATTGCTGTAAGTTTCCAGGTTAACCATGGCTACATAGCTCTTAAATTTTGTATTATTCCACTTTCCTTTTAGGTGCCTGTTGTTTGTTGTTTGGGCTGAGAAGGATCTCATGTAGCCCAGGCTGGCCTAGAATACTTGAGTCTCCTGCCTCAGCCTTCCAAACTCGGCGTACAAATGGCCTGCCATCACGCCTGACTAGGCTTGTGTCTTGTCACGCACATCCTTTTTTTGTGTTGAACAGTTTTTTTTGTTTTTTTTTTTGGTTTTTCGAGACAGGGTTTCTCTGTGCGCCTTTCCTGGAACTCGCTTTGGAGACCAGGCTGGCCTCGAACTCACAGAGATCCACCTGCCTCTGCCTCCCGAGTGCTGGGATTAAAGGCGTGCGCCACCACCGCCCGGCGTGTTGAACAGTTTTAACAAAGCTGGATACCATTTTCTAGCTCAGAGCAGTCAGTGAGCTACAGTGGGAGGGAGACGAATTGAGGAACAAGTGCCAAAAATAAGTAATAAAGGAAGGCTGGAGACATGGGTCAGCGGTTAGGAGCATTGACTGCTCTTCCAGAGGACCCAGGTTCGATTCCCATAACCACACAGTGCCTCATAACCATCTGTAACTCCAGTTCCAAGGGATCCAATACACTCTCTGGCACTACCAGGCACACATGTGTTGCCCTTAGATACACACAGGCAAAATGCCCATGCATTATTATTATTAAAAATAATAGATGGCAGGACAGCTCTTAAAAATGGAGGCTTCGACTGGGCAGGGGTGGCGCACGCCTTTAATCCCAGCACTCAGGAGCCAGAGGCAGGCAAATCTCTGTGAGTCTGAGGCCAGCCTGGTCTACAGAGCGAGATCCAGGACAGACACCAAAACTATACAGAGAAACCTTGTCTCAAAAAAAAAAAGAAAGAAAGAAAGAAAGAAAAAAAAATGGAGGCTTCGAAGGTAAAATGTCCTTTAACTCCTAGTGAGAGAGTTAATGCATTAGTACTCCATAATAAGACAATCACTTGTCTTTGTGATTTTAGAATAGTAGAATTCTAGACATGGCCTCAGAATCCTATTCCATGTTCTGTGCTTCTGGAAGCAAGCCCTGTAACACAATTATACTGTCCTATCTTGCTTTCCCTTGAAGCAGAGCTTGTACAGGACTTGGGTGTGGGCCTTTTCCTGTGGAGGTGACCCGAGGAGCCGCCAGGAAGTGGTGGGAAAAGTAAAATGGAGTGAAGCCACTTAGGGGTGTCCTATCCAAGTCCCATCAAGACAGTAAGAGCCAAGATCTCCCAGGGCACTGTTGGGAATTGTCTGCGTCCTGCTGGCTCCTGTCACCTGGAGACCAGGTTGCCAGCTGATGACCCTTCACTCTAGTGCAGAATAGGCAGTGTGAGCTTGAGGGACCACCCCCAACACAGGGTGGGTCAGATGAAGTCAGAGTAAGCCACGGGATGGGCAACAGGACGTTAGATCTGCAGCAGCTCCAAAGAGGCACCAAGTAAAGTCTCGGTGCTTAGTGAGCCTCAGGCATCTAGAGAGGAGGGCATTTTATAAACCCCCAGAAGCCTGGCTGAACAGATGGGGCATTGGCACAGCCTAGCTTGCGGACAGGTAGTGGCACACAGTGACTTGTCTCTCACTGCAGGGATTGGTGGTGGGATCATCCACCAGCACGAGCTGATCCACGGCAGCTCTTTCTGTGCGGCAGAGCTGGGCCACCTCGTGGTGTCTCTGGATGGGCCTGACTGCTCCTGTGGAAGCCATGGCTGTATTGAAGCGTATGCCTCTGGGATGGCCTTGCAGAGGGAAGCAAAGAAGCTCCATGATGGTTCGTACCCCTCTCCTTCGGCAGTAACTAGCCAAATGCAGACGAAGTACTTGGGAGTAGAAATTACAGAGAGCTGAGCCTGGAAGCCATGATTCTGAGCTGAGTCTTCATTGCTGTCATCTAGGGCGTCCTTGGTCCTGACCAGACGTACACTTGTCCTTACAGCTCCAAGACATCAGGGGAGAGTCCTTTCAGTTTTGCTTCTCAGCCATCAGTCGGCACAGGACTCAAACTCCATACACATTATAGTGAGAACATAAATGATGAACAACTTACAGTGTACCAAATGCACCGAGAACAGTGCCAAGGAGGTGGCTACCTGTACAGAGGACACCGGGTTCCTTCCCTGCCCGCCCTCCATACAGGGAAAGGAGGGAGTGTCGGGCACCATCCTGGGAGCTGAGCTTTAGAGAATACATGGGCCAGGAAGGCAAGTCTGCTGCCAGAAGGAGTCTTCCAGGGTGGAGACAGTGGTGTCGGTGTGTAAATGGTACAGGGTGTAAGGAGGACCAGCCGGTCAGAGGAACCATTGAAAACCTTCAGGGAAGTCTGATCTGAATTTCAGATTCCTCGATGAACCATAACCTTTTGATTTGCCGTTGTTTTTCAAGACAGGGTCTCTCTGTGTAGCCTTGGCTGTCCTGGAACTCTGCAGACCAGGCTGGCCTTAAACTCAGAGATCCGCCTGCCTCTGCCTCCCGAGTGCTGGGATTAAAGGTGTGTGCCACCACCGCCGGTGACCTCTTGATTTCTAAGAGGAAAATGGTAGCTGACTAGAGGATGGGTTAAGTAGGGTAGTTTTAGAGTGATGTTTAATTTTCTGATGGACCTCTTGGAGTTGGGAATATTAAGAGAAACAGGTATAGGTGGCAGATGGCAGTGGGGTGCTGTGGGATAGCCACGTGCAAATGCTTAGGAGGTGGGGGATTGGGGGGGGTCACAGGTACTGAGGGGGTTGTTAAAGCTGGGACTGAGGCACTAGATAGACTCAAGGGTGGGATCCTGAGAGACCAACCTGTGAGTGCAGAGAAAGGGGGCCCCAAGGGGAGGGCGGTTCAGAGGGTATGTCAGGCTGCTGGAGAAGTAGGAAGTCAGAGTCTGTTGGCGTTGAGCACACAGACATCATCTTGGTGCTCTCAAACTGTTCCTTTTGACCCTGGTTTTCACTATCAACCCCTACTACACCTTTCCCCTAATCACCCCCTCCTGTACCATTTAACACCACAGACACAATGTCTGTTTATGGACTGTGTTTTGTACAGAAAAGAGTAAGGTTGAATTTTTTCCGAATCGGTCTGTGAGTACATGAGACACAGTGGGATGGGAGTAAAGTCATTGAGAATGCAGGGAGCAGGGTGCAGTTCCTGTGTCAGGCGGGGGTGGGGTGGGGGATGAGCTCCAAACAAGGTAAAGGATCAAGAGAGGGCCGAAGAGTGAAGATTGCAGTGTGGGAAAAACGTACAAGAATGCTGCCCTGTCAGAGGTGTGCGTGGGAGCTGGTGAGACGTGGGAGGCAGCTGCTGGTGTGAGGCCCAGGGAGCAGAGCGTGGAGGACACCTAAGCAGGAGTGGTAGGAAGTGAGATCATGTCTCAGAAAACTTTGGGGTTAGGGTTGGGATTGGGGGGATGTCTCAGTGGTTAAGAGCACTGTCTGCTCTTCCAAAAGACCCAGCTCAATTCCTGCACCCATATGGCCGCTCACAACTGTCTGTAACTCCAGTTCCAGGGGATCTGACACCCTCACACCAATGCACATAAAATTAAATAAATTATTTCTTTAAAAAAACTTAAAAGGTTGGGGGCTACGTTTGATCTCATAGTTCAGGCTTCAGTCGGACTAGTCAGGCCCTGTACTACAGGCCTTGGCAGCCCAGTCATCACGGCAGCCCATGGCAGGGGCCTGTTCACTTACCTCATGGACAGAAGCAGAGGTAGGGCTGAGGACTCAGCATCTGAGTGTGTCCCTAGTGACTTAACTTACCCAAACACAGCAGGTCCTGACTGACAGAAAGACAGGGCTACAGAGAACAGCAGAATGTTCGGTGCTGGAGCTGGAGGATGGCTCAGCCAGTACAGTGCCTGCCTTACAGAATGAGGACTTCATTAGGATCCTCAGCACTCACATCCAACCAGGCTTGGCGGTGCACATCTGCATTCCCAACAGCTGGATTTAGGAGGGCCCCTGGGGCTTGCAGGCTGATAGTCTAGACAAGGTGGTGAATTCCAGGTTCCATGGGAGACCTTGACTCAGAAAATAGGGTGGAAAGGGATTGAGGAAGACACCCAAATCCACTTCTGACCTCCACTCCTATACATACACCTGATATACATGTGTACACCCTACACAAACACAGCACTCACACAAAAAGAAAATGTCTACTGTTGATTTAGCACTTAATCTAGCCAGCTTTGTACATAACCCATGTCCATTGTCTGTATTTAATTCCTAAAATAATTCTAGGTATTATTATCCCAGTCTTCTAGAAAAGAGAAACCTATAGAAAGGAAATGGTGTAGACTGGCCTGTGTAGCCAGTAGTGCCAGCAGGAACAGATCTGAGCCGGTACTGGCCAGGCCTGTCCCTCTGGCCTCAGTCTTGCCGGTACCTTGTAGACCACCTCAGAGTGCAGCATTGTGTCTGTGTGAATGAGGGTGGAGAGAGAGAAGGGAGATTAATGAGAGTCTAATATTGCAAGTGAGAAGTGAGGGGAGCGGCAGGCAGGGAGGCTGTCTTCAGATCTGAGCGTCTTCCAAGTAGGTAAGGTCAGACTGATAGCAAGAGGGGAGCAAAGGCTTTGGGTGGCAATGTGTGGGTGTGTGCAAGTGATAAATAGCTCTGAGCTGTGAAAAGAAATGCCTCCTTAGAGCTGGCTGCTGGTGGGCACAGGTATAATGGAAGCCTCCCTCAGGGTTGCCACTGCTCATGAAGGACTCTTCCTCCTGTTCCTTCAGAGGACCTGCTCTTGGTGGAAGGGATGTCAGTGCCAAAAGACGAACCTGTGGGTGCCCTCCATCTCATCCAAGCTGCCAAGCTCGGCAACGTGAAGGCCCAGAGCATCTTACGAACAGGTGAGCCTATGGTCCCAGACCCCCAGGGCTCCCAGGGAGCCTCGGTTTCCCTTAGGTGCAGTGCTCTGCATTGTGCACTCGGAGGCACTCTTTCTACTTACTGAAAAAGGGAAACATGTTGAAGGTGTTTAGAAGCACTGCCTTTAAATGGGTTTTTTTTTTTTTGTTTGTTTGTTTTTTTGTTTTTCGAGACAGGGTTTCTCTGTGTAGCTTTGCGCCTCTCCTGGAACTCACTTGGTAGCCCAGGCTGGCCTCGAACTCACAGAGATCCACCTGGCTCTGCCTCCCGAGTGCTGGGATTAAAGGCGTGCGCCACCACCGCCCGGCTCTTTAAATGGGTTTTAATTCTTATTTTATACTGAAATATTACTGCTTCACTTTATAGGTATTTAGAGTATAGGATAATAGTAAGAAAAACTATCTTGAGTTTTACCCCTCAGAATCACTGTAGCTAGAGTTTTCCTGCCTGGCCCACAGTCAGGACAAATCTCTGCCACCCGCCAGTCCCACAGCTGCTCAGACCCAACAAAGTAAACACAGAGACTTATATTGCTTACAAACTGTATGGCTGTGGCAGACTACTTGCTAACTGTTCTTATATCTTAAATTAATCCATTTCTATAAATCTATACCTTGCCACATGGCTCGTGGCTTACTGGCATCTTCACATGCTGCTTGTCATGGTGGCGGCTGGCAGTGTCTCTCCCACTCAGCCTTCCACTTCCCAGAATTCTCCTCTCTCCTTGTCCCACCTATACTTCCTGCCTGGCCACTGGCCAATCAGTGTTTTATTTATTGACCAATCAGAGCAATTTGACATACAGACCATCCCACAGCAAATCACCAACTATTAGAATGTCTTTCCAGTCTTTCTATTTGTTTTTGTAATGTTTACATAATTAAGATTATATCTTACAGTATACATAAAATTTTGTTTACCTATTTTTGCAATGCTTATATATTCTGGCAAGCACTCTGCCACTAAGCTAGACCCCCATTCCTCTCTTTTTCTCAGATGGCATCTCACTTTGTTGTCTGTGCTGACACCAGGAAAGAAAGATGGTAGCTGAGAGGCCCAGGGATAGGAGAATATCAGCTCTAGATGGCTAGGTAGCAGCTTGCATGACTGAGATCAAGACCAGCCTAGGCTGCAGATGAGATCCTGTCTCACAAAGGAGAATAAATCATGGCACTCTCCTATAGGCCTCTCTTTTCAGGAGGCTGAAGCAGGAAAATTGCTTGATCCCAGGAGTTCCGAGCCACGTAAATGAGACTCTTGTCCCAAAACAAAACAAAACAAAATGGCAGCTCAAAGCTTATACTCAAGGACTTAGGAGCTGAGGCAGGAAGATGGCTGGGAGCTGGAGGTCAGCCTGGATTACACAGTAAGAGTCTGTCTCAAAGTAAAAAACAACACGATGTAAGGAAGAGGAAATCATGGTTTGGTTTGGTTTTTGGAGACAGAGTCTGTCCACGTAGTACTGGCTGTTCTGGAGTTCAACGCATAGACCAGGCTGGCCTACTCACAGAGATCCACCTGCGTCTGTCTCCTGAGTGACAGGACTAAAGCTGTGCACCACCAGAGCCAGCCTTCCTGGACAGCTTTTAAACGTAGCACTTCACGGTGTCTGATTTAGCATTTCCTGAAAACTTGTCTGCTTTTTGCTCTCCTACAGCTGGAACTGCTTTGGGACTTGGGGTTGTGAACATCCTCCACACTATGAACCCTTCCCTAGTGATCCTGTCTGGAGTCCTGGCCAGTCACTATATCCACATCGTCAAGGATGTCATCCGCCAGCAAGCCTTGTCCTCCGTACAGGATGTGGATGTGGTGGTTTCAGATTTGGCTGACCCGGCCCTGCTTGGCGCTGCCAGCATGGTTCTGGACTACACCACCCGCAGGATCCACTAGGTCTCCTGGGAGTGGACATGGACTGAGACCTAAGAGCTACTTAGTGGAACCAGGTTTTTAGATCAGTGCTTCTTCAAAGGCAAATTTGTGGGGCTGCTGAGATGGCTCGATGGCTAAGAGCCTTTACTGCTCTTGCAGAGGACCCCAGTTCAGTCCCCAGCGCTCACGTCCGGCAGCTCACAGCCTGACAGCCAAGCTCCAGGGGATCCAAGGCCTCAGCCGCTGAGGGCATTCTCACTCAAATGTCCATACCCCTCCCTCAAACATAATTAAAAATAAATCGTATTTTTTAAAGGGCCAATTTGATATTAATCTCCAGCAACAGCTGCAGAAGTAGCTTGCTTTTCATCTTCCCTTCTGTATCAAGTCAGTGTTCTCTAGAGCACAGCTGATGGAAGGAGTCTGTCCGTCTGTATGGACGCATCACTGGGATAGCTTGCAGGCTGAGCGAGTCCAACAGTGGCTGACTCCCAACGGAAATCCAGGAGTTGTTCAGCCCATGAGGCTCATGTCTCAGCTGGTCTTCAGTGGGCATCAGAATCGTGAAGTAGGCTCCAGTACCAGTGAATGGAGAGCAAGGGCAGCCAGGCAAAAAGCAATCACTTCCTTCTCCCATGTTCTTTATATAGGCTGTCACCAGAAAGTGTGGCCTAGATTAAAGGGGGATCTTTCTACTTCAAATGATTTAATTAAAAATTCCTCCCAGGTGTACCTCGCCTCTTGGGTTTTAATTAATTCCAGATGTAAGCAAGCTGACAACCAAGAATAGCTTCACACCTTCCAAGTGTACCTTTCCCGTGAGCCTGTGCGGAGGCTGTGCTGATGGGGTCACCTGACCACAAACTCTGGGTTCCAGAGACACTTCCTGCACCACAGGAGCAGCAGCAGTTGACCTGATGCCTTAGGACTCCTCGTAGACCTCAGAATGCTAGCTAGCATCACGGGAAGGTTTGGGTTTAACAGTCTTCCTCAGACCACAGAAAGAGAGTCTGTCACCCAGTGAAGGAAAGCTCACCGGGAAATGCATGCTTGCTGTTTCTTAACAACATAACTTACACATTTCACAACTTTTCCCATAGGCATACTCCTGTGAAACAGCCACCAGAATCAAGGGACTGGGCAGATGTCACACCCAATGTCTGCTGAAAGATGCTTCACTTGTGGAGGGTTTTTGTTTGTTTTTGTTTTTGAGACAGGGTTTCTCTGTGTAGCCCTGGCTGTCCTGGATCTTACTTTGTAGACCTGGCTGGTCTTGAACTCACAGAGATCCTCCTGCCTCTGCCTCCCACAAGTGCTGGGATTAAAGGCGTGTGCCAGCACCGCCCAGCTACTCATAAGTGTTTATGAGACATTTTTAGACTGGGGTCCAAATCATGGTGGCCTTGGTGACTGTCTTATCTTCCCAGAGAAAGCAAACAGGACTAGAGCTGCTGGAAGGGGAGCTGCTGCTGCCCACATAGGCTCTTTGCTTCTAAGTGCAGGTACTTTTGCTCCTTCTGCTTTTCACTGTTCCCTGTGACCCAGAATGTCAGTGGAGTCAGTGTTCGAGTGTGTGTGTGTGTGTGTGTCTTAAACACCTAGAGCTCAGAGCCTTGGATCTGAATACTGACTAAATTACAATTTGTGCTTTTTGTTGTATGTGTTTGTTTTTGAGACAGAATCTCACTTGTCTTACTCTGAACCTTGGTTTATCTTGAACTCCCAACAATCCTGCCACAGCTTCCAGAGTGCTGGGATTATAGACAATGAGTCAGCACACCCAGCTTAAAATTTGTTCTTTCATTGATGACAAAATACATAGTCAAAAGTTCTGCTCTTAACTGCCCCCTGAAATAAGTGCTAACAGATGCCACTGTGTTAGTTACTTTCTGCTGTGCTAACACGGTGACCAGAGCAACTAACAGAAGGAAGAGTTTCTTTTGACTTACAGTTCTAGAGAGAGAATCCTTAGCTGCAGGGAAGGCACAGCAGCAGGAGGCCAGGGCAGGGAGCCTGAGAAATCGCATCAACTACAAGCAAAAAGCAGGGCTGGAAGTAGGGAAGGCTCCAAACTCAGAACTCACCCCCAGCAAGGCTGCACCGCAAACAGCACCACCATATCTGATATGTGACCCCTGTGAAAGGGTCCTTCGCCCCTCAGGTTGAGAACTGCTGCCGGACATCATCACCTGGGCCTGCTTCCTGTCCAGGCAGCTGTATCTAGGGCAGAGGATGCACAAAGAGGCATCATCACTCACTCCTGGCTAAAGCCGTAATACTGCATACCAAACACCTGCACCACTACCAAGTTCTGGGCCAGATATCTGAAAGGATGGTACCAAACTGAAAGCCAAATTTTAGTATTAATCAAATTCGTGGAAAGAGTAATATATCCTAACACAATTTATTACATATGGTTAAATTACATCTTAAATATTTTGATTCTGAACCAACTTTAAAAGAAAAATACATCTCCTTGTCCAAGTTGTAACACGGTTATACCATGCTTTTTCCCCTTACCTCAGCTAGAAGCTAGTAACTTTCCCAGGAGAGTATATTTGTTGCCTTGCGTACCTTTTAACATCACGTAATAGTTTATGGTATCAGGTACCACTGCTTTCTTAACCAAGGGGGAGGGACACTATTAATAGAAAGCATTATTAAACTATCATTCAGTATTTGACAGAGAAAAGGTAGTCCCAAGAAGGAAGCTCAAAACTAAATGTTGAACACACACTGAATCACCCTGGACCAATTACTACTACTACTTTTTTTTTTTTTTAAGGCAGGGTCTCATTGTGCAGCCTTGGTGGGCCTGTAACTCACTATGTAGACCAGGTTGGCCTCGAACTCAGGAGATCAACCTTCCTCTGCTTCCCAAGTCCGGGGATGAAAGGCCTGTGCCTCGTGGCCAGCCTGTTCCCTCATTTCTTCCTCTTATGAAGCTACATGTGGTTAAATAATTATAAATGCTGTGTAACCAAAGAAAGACGCAAAGGATTCCAAGCAGCAGTAACCCCATCTATGTTGTCCGTAGATCAGCCGTTGGGAAGGGCTTTGCTCAGCAGGTCTGGCCCCAAAGTCCTGCACTTGTAGTTAGTAGCTAGAGCTGAGACAAAGCACTGTTCTTCCTTAAGGGGTCTCCTGGGTGGTCTCTAGCTGAACTTGGGTTTCCTTGCTGCACGGTGGCTCCACAGCATTAGAGCTTTTCACGTAGTGGCCCAGGGTTACCAGGTAGAAAATTTGAACACATCAGCCATAAGCTGTGTTGCCCTTTACAATCTAGCCTTGGGACTCACACGCCATCACTTCTGTCCTCTAAGTTTCTCATCTGGACAATTTCAGATGAGAACTGTCACACTGCCTTCAAGAAACCCAGACAATGGCATGTAGACGGTACCCAAACCAAGCTGTTCTAGGGTCAACAATGGCATGTAGATGGTACCCAAACCAAGCTGTTCTAGGGTCAACAATGGCATGTAGATGGTACCCAAACCAAGCTGTTCTAGGGTCAACAATGGCATGTAGACGGTAACCAAACCAAGCTGTTCTAGGGTCAACAATGGCATGTAGATGGTACCCAAACCAAGCTGTTCTAAGGTCATGGGAATCCAGGGGAGAGGAGTAAGGCATTATGGAGGGGCCTTTAAACGTTCTTAAATTGGACCCCACCTCAAAAAGTAAAAAAGGGGTGTTGATGGGGCTTTGGTAGCATGCTTACCTAGTACACCTAAGTCCCTAGGTTCATTCTCCAGTACTCCCATTCTACCCCCCAAACACCAGAAATTTGGAGTTACCATAGTTTAAGGAGGGTTGGATGCTCAATGGCTGTGCCTTCTCAGCCCCACTCTCACCCCTTTAAGCCAGCCCCCACGCTGCAGCACCATTTCGAGATCAATAAAGATGCTTCATGTATAATGTTTGAAACAGAAATTTATTCTCAGAATAATGCACAAAAGCATGGGTTGAGGCTACTGTCGGGAGCATCCCTCCCCTCCTCCTCCTCCTCCCCTCTCTTCTCTGAATGCCAGGGAGAACACAGTTGAAGGAAACATGCAATCACAAACAATGATCAACTCTAAAGACAAAGGTTTGGTCCAAAAGAACTCAACATAATTAATCCAATTACGTGAACAGCCTCACTGAGTAGGATTAAGATATTGCAGACGTAGTGTTTCCACAGGGTAGCTCTTCAATGCACCAGGGGGGCCTGCTTCAGGGAGATGAGGACTGAGCGCATGCGAGAGACATCTTTGGCCTGTTTGCTGGACTTGGGGTTAAAGTCACACAGGCGGGCCACCCGCTCCCATTCAGTGCCCGGGGATGACTCATCGATGTCGTTTACAAAGGCTTCTTCTGCTGCCCTGGAAGCAATAACAAAGTATGTTGGTTTACCGTAAAAAACCTTTGAGCAATCTGGTGGCTGCCTTGCTACAACTCACTACAAAATAAGTGATTGTCTCTTTTGACTCGGGCATGAATGTATCAGGCCCTGGCTCAGGTCAGAAGCAGGGGCGGACAGACACGTGGCCAGCTCTCCTCAGTACAGGTAGCCAGGCTGCTGTATGAAATGGTGGAATACAGGTGTTTGGTTCAGGGCTCAGTCCGTCCCTATGGCTGTCTTTGCCTCATCAGAGCCTGAGAAAGCACGTCCTTGGCCACCCATGCACTGCTTTTCTGCACAAGAGCAAAGCAGCAGGCTGATCAGGGGCTTGCAGAGTAGCTTGTGCTGTGCTACCCTGAGGTTCAAGGAAAGTGAGACTTCTAAAAAGCCCTTGGGTCATTGCCCAAGAGCCTGAAACTTACTCCTAAGGCTGGAGAGAAACAGGGCAGAGCAAAAGGCATTCAAGACCAAGCTCCCATGCTAAGCAGGCACTAGAAACTAAAGCCATTCTGGAAGGGGTTTGTTAGGACGTTCACCAGTTCAGCCAAAAGTCTGCCATTTTCTCTCCAGCCAGGTGCCTGGTGCCACTCAGGGAGTACCCTGGCAGGAGAGCCAACATGAGCTGCTTTTTGGCAGGATACCACTCCAACATTCTTTCACATCACGATCAGCCCACCCACAGTGGGGCCTGCCTGGCAGGAGCACACGCCCAAAGGACAGTGGTAGAAGTGGGAAGACACATGTATGTCATCTACTCCAACAAGCATCACGGGCAAAGCAAAAGCAATGGAGATGACTGGTCTGTGGGGACAGGGTGGACCATCCCAGGGATGACCGTGGCAACACTGCTGAAGCCCAGAGCCACGACAACACTGCGACTTCATGGCACACACAGTTAGGGCAGTGAGAAAGGTTTACTTAACTGTTCTAGGCTGTAGCAAGGATGGTTTATGTTTGTGCTTAAAGGTGAAGAGAAGAAAAGAAACAAGGAGAAACTTTAAGTCAGATATAGAAAATGAGAATGAGCTCAATGCAGATGGTCAGTAAGCTAGACATGCCCTTGCCGCTCTACCTATGCCTGGGAACGTGCAGCTGGCTTTGCTGGGCCACCCTGCTGTCCAGCAAACCCAGACTCAACCTTTCCAGTCTCCATTTCTACTCCAGAGTGTAAAGTCAAATCAAACACCACCTGTAAGTCCAGCATTTCACAAGTCTTCCTGCAAACTCATCCCGTTCTGTCTTCTAATGAGGTGGCCATCTCAGGGTCATGGGCCTGACGAGGCTCTCCGGCCACCACCCACCTTCACAAGTGGATGCTGTTTTTATCCCTAATTCTGCTGTAAAAAGG